TTTGAAAGAAGTAAATTGCCTGACTAGTTTTGTGAAATGCTGATCGGGTTTTACCACAGCATTCTTGAATAGGTGCTCGCTTTTGCCATATAATATATTGGTTGTCCTTTCGTGTTAGGTATTAGCGGTGTCGTAGGCCTACAGCCATGCGAGCAGTCATGCTTAGGTAAAGCATGTGGACAGGCTAAGTAAGTAGATTAAAATCAAGCACGTGACCATAGGGTACACACCGTAGGGGCACTGAGGCCTAAAAGTTGCACATGAGCACCAGCTTAGTAACACCCTGGGCAAGATGAGGCAAGCGCTCTGTAAATCCCGTGCACATATTCGCATAAGCCTTACAGCCGCGGTGCTCAGATGGCATTGGCAGAGGGAATGAGTCGTCCCGGCACAACACCTTGTCAGGGTAGTTCGTATCCTCGTGCCGACTCTCTTATTCATACGTCTGCGGCTTTATACGTCTATGAGTATCTTTCGCTTCAGTCCTCATCCTCTTCCAAGACCACGCCCCTTGTGCTCTCTGTACACAGCTAAAACAGATCAACGCAAGTTTGCAAGCGAATTCCCGCTTGCCACCTTCGATGTAACCTTTTTTCAAATAAGTCTTCCCTACGTTGATCACCTTCTTCGATCAAAAATCGTGAGCGGCAGGGTTCACAGGCAAAAAGGAGTTTTTGCCCACCGATAAGAAAGAACAAAAGGAACGCCAAAAGCGCCACAGCTAACGCTTCTATCGATCACAGGTACTGTACGAGTTCACGTTCATGACTCATTCAAAACCCTTAGGAAATGAAGCGTGATGTTGAGAACCACTGAGACTGAAACCGTAACGGTGCTCGAGTGTCGTCTCTATGCTTTCCCGCGCTATCCCTGACATGCAGCACTTGCGCCCAGGGCACATCATTGGTTGGGGATTTTAGTCGACTCTATACGACCCCCCCTTTTTGGGAGTTGGTACGACCCCCAGCCCTCTGTCCTTCCTCATCGAATCGAGCCGTCGAGCGGAGGGGCATATAGAACCTCTCCCCAAAATTTTGCTGTCGAGCGGGGGGGGAGGGGTATAGTACGCATGAAACAGGAAAATCACCAAAAGTCAACCGCCACTCCTACAACGCCAAAACGTAAATACGACCCCCCCTCCTGGCGACCAAATACGACCCCCCTATTGGAGATTCCCCAACAACGATGTGCCCTGCTTGCGCCGATGCTGAAGCCCCGCAGCAGAGCACGTGCGATGGAGAACAAACAGAACATAGAGGACGACCTCGTTTTAGTAAGACCTCCTCGTTAGCAGGTATCTGAAGAGCATATCCTCATGTGGAATAGCAATCACGTTATATTGCTAGCCACATAAGGACAAGCTCCCAAAATAGCTACTTTTACTGTTGGCCAAATCGGAATGGTTATTTGAGCTTAATGGTTATGCTTTATGCAAACCTGATGAGCCAGCTCGTGCGCAATTGGTGCTAGAACTGGAAATGTAGTTGGCAAAGAATAAGGTTCGTCATTGTACAGCAGTATTTGTTCTCTATAACGAAGGAGTATGAGTCTACTAAAGCCGTTAAGGATTAGGTTAGCGAGAAAGTTCTGTCATATTTTCTCCAGTGGAGCCTTCTTCCTAAAGAGAGGCATAAAAGATTAAAATTATACAGCAACGCTATTGCGGTGTTCTTGCCAGGCCGGCGTGATGCACAGTTGGCCATCATCTCAACTTCGACAAGAGCTCGAGTCGTTGAGGTTTTCTCGTCCATATAAGGGTTAAAGGCAGTTGGCACGATAAATCCCCCAAGACGACTAGGATCAATACTCCTGGCAGGATAGAATTCCGCGACCCTGGGCAGGCGCTGCATAGCGGTTTCCCCGAGGAAGGTGCCCTTATAAGGGCCCTATCAAGCCACAACTTTACGTCCCAAACGCCCGCCACGCCCGCCCGCCCACGACCGTTCCTGACGCTCGTATTCATTCATTTGCTAAGCAAATTATGAAGCGAAGGGATTGGTATGAAGCGGCCGTGATGCTGCATGCATATATGGGTACACATATGCAGCCGTATCTTCGGTAGCGGTGATTGGCAAGATGCCTACGGGAAACTCGTCCGAAATCGATTTACAAGTCACTGAGAACGGAGGCTTTTTCTTCGCAGGATTTTGACCGTTTCACTCCGTTCTTTCGCCATTTCCCCACTATACAGCGCCCTACTAGCATTTTAGGCTAAGTAGGAAACCATCGTGCCAACTGCCTTTAAGTACGGGAGGCAACTAGCAGTTACGAGGAGCAGTGTTGTGGGTATACCGGTGCAAGGGGAGCCATCCAGCTCTATTGCATGAGATTTGGCTCAACTTTTTTTAGACGGAGTGGGCTATACTATCATGTTGAAAACGGACAGATCTTAACCTCTGATCGATGATTCGCTTCAGTTCTCGTAGATGTTTCGAGCAGGGATTGACTGAAGAAATAGCTTCTTCTTCCAGCAGTTTCACGCACCCCCTAGCTCCATCAAACTGAGTAGCAGGTACACCCAAACCTCACTTCGTCATTAAAACTGCAAGCACTCGCTTTGAAGCATTAGCGTCGTGCTTCAGAGGTTGTCAGAGGTTGAAGGGCATAGTCCTTCATTCAGCTCCATTATTTTGGCATCTGCAGCTATCATGCTGGCGTCAGGGTGGTGGAAGAAAGAGTTTGAGGAAGCGCTTGGAGGGGTCGGTGCCGATGGTAGCGGATAACATCCTTGTCCATATTGCAGAAGAAGGAGAAGCAGGAGTCAAGCCAGTGATACTAATAGAAAGATCATTCCTTGATGTATAACTTCACATTACCATTACCTCTCTTCAGGTGTTAAGTATTTTGGGCTCAAAAGAGTATGACAGAACATTCCCGCCAACCTGATACTACGTACCTGTAGGTTATCCAGTCCCCAATTTTCCATTGCACCAGCTGCGAAGTCGGGCAATGCAAGCATGTCTATAAGATGCAACGATTTTTAAACAACTAGTGACTGTCGGAGAAGGGCAGAGGTAGCAGCATCGACCATATAGGACTCCCTCTCAGGGTCTGAGCCAGCTCGACTCCTTCTGTGCTATTGTAAAGATGCTCTTTCGGGAGCAACATGCATCCAATCATAAATATCCGTTGAACTGGGTCAAACCACTGGTTATCATCAATCGACTTGGTCCGAGCGTGCGCCGTGCATTACGCTCCCACACACAGGTGGCTGAAAGGTGTAACTTCTGATTTTAGATGATCTTTGCACATGCAAGCGGATGTTTGTCTAGGGGTTTTTTTTTGGTGGGATGATCCTCTGCAAAAGTGAAAAGCCGTCAGATCGCCCAATAATTCCTCTTTCCAGTGTGTTACATTGTTCCCGAAGACTAGACTAGAAGATATTTCAGATGGGTCACTTTCAGGCGACATCGGTGGTCGTGCTTGGCCGCTGGAGAGGGGGAGGGAGATCAGCAAAGTCGGTGAGCACCAAAAAGTACAAAAGTGTCATCGCTAAGTTCGATGGTGCGGACGGAGAGCTGCAGCAGATCTGGATGTAAGGAAGACTACAAAATATTAAAACATTAGGACTATCAACAGTTAGCATGAACTCGTAAGTACGTAGATGACTAAATAATACATCTCAAACAGATTCGTGCGTATCGACCTTTCCAAACCTAAACAAACATCTGCTTGCATGGACAAAAATCACCTAAAATCAAGATTGCACCTTTCTATCCACCTCTGCGTAGAAGCGAAATGCACGGCGCACACTCGGACCAGGTGTGGTAATCAAATTATATGTCGACGCAATTCTACTCTTCCCTTCTAGTTCTAGGGGACATGTGTTCGGAAGGCATGTTGAAGTTTATGAATGAGTATCCTTGCAATGGCCCAGAAGGAGTCGAACTCTTGAATGGCTCAGAATGTTGCTTGAGGGTGAGCTCTGGCTCAGAATGTCGCTTAAGGGTGAGCATCTAAAATATACAGCTTCTAAACTAGCGGGTCCCCAAAAACATTTAAGAGCTCGTTGGATAGAGGAAATATTGGGCCTCCTGATGGCCTTTTAGTTTTGCAAAAGATTGCGTTTGGAAGGAGTTATTCTCGTCTCGCGCTCGCGATTCACCACCAACGCGTCCGTAACCCACCAGAAATATTTCACGAACGGGGAAGATTCAGATTGCGAGTAGGTAGAAAACGCAACAGTAGAGACATTGCTTCAACATGCCGCCTTCCGATTCTCAAAAGTCCCGCGCCTAAAAATTCTACCACCCTCCAGAAAAAGGCCTGTGACTTGAAGCTGACCAATGGATCTGCTTCGCCGCTAATTTGCCATGGAATTACAAAGCGGCCACAAGCTCTTGCGAGTCGTTACGTATCTAATCGTCCAGAGCAAACAATCAGAGTCTGAAGGAAGGGTCGTACCACTGGAAGAAGGGTCGTACGAGGATCCTTTTTTGGAGGGAAGGGGGGGGGGGGGGTGGGGTCGTACTGACACCGCCATCTCACACATCATGATGGTACCCTGTGCATAGAGCTGGGGCTGTTAAGTGGCGCGTGCGTGAAGAAAAAAACAAAAACGCTTTCAGTAAGACTCCTTTACCTCTGAGCATTTTACGAGTAAGAGGCGAAAAGGGAAGGTGTTCGAACCAATTCTTGCCTGACGATATCTAGGAGACATAAGTTCTCCTTCCCTATCACATCCCTTTCACCACTGGGATCTTTATCATCTCCTCTTCTGTCGAAGTTCACGCGGTTGGGAAGAGAGCGGAAACCTCGTCTCTAAGGTGAAGGGCACCGTCCGATACAAGCTCCCAGCGCTCTTCCCCCACTATGTCAAAAAAAAGCGGCACCTCCTAGCTGGCTAAGAACGTCCTATGAGAAGAAGGACGCCCAGGATAATTTGACACTGTGCCTTCAGCTCCCGCAGTTAAGCAAGATATGGGACGAGCTATGGAGACGAAGGTCCTTCCCTTCTCAGGGCTCGTGTATATGATAGGCTCTTATCCTGAGTTGTGAAATTAGCGCACCCTACCCTGTTTTTGTAGTGGAAATTTGATATCGAAGTATTCCTCGTAAAACTGCAGACATTGGACGCCGACTTTTAGCGCAAATTGCGTCATATTAATCGCTTCTGGACGTGACCACACTCGGAACTGAAAAAAATGAGATGTAAAAGTAACGTCTACAAGAAGAGAAACAGAAGAACGGAGGAAAACACGTACTCTTACTCCCTCCTTGGTATACCCTTGGATATATTCAAATTCGCCAACAGCAATGGCAAGAAGATATGTCGACATTTTTGGAGTTGTTTCAAATGTCGTCCACACCCAAGCACTGCCAGATTCACTATAATGGTTTACCTAGACATTCACATGAACACACTTCCACAGTAATAGAAGGGGCGGAGAATCACGGACATTTGCATCTCTCATTGGTTCGCCTTCTATCTAATGAGGAACGGCGGCCAGTGAAGAAGAAACAATGGTCGTGTTTCTTCAAGCGATTCTGGCCTATCCGGTCATCGCGAAATACACTTCTAAGGCGAAAGTGACCTTGTTTATTAAAATATGAAATTCGACTTTGATCTCACGTCCGACTCCCAGAGTGCAATCGAAATCTTATGGTTATTACCTTACGCTACTTCTCTCTTTTCCATTGGACAGAGCTGTGGTTCCTGCCGGATGAATTACAGTAACCGTCCATTGTGCTTTGAATGCCGGCTCATCGAAACATGGCACCATCAAACGAGCATGGGTCGGTTCGAACTGGGTAACAGCGGCGACTCTAAATATAATGGATGAATAACATATCCAGCTGGTTTTAGATGGTAAACTACGAAAAAATATGCCCTATAGTGTGCATCCACAAACCCCACACGTTTGACTTTACGCGCATTTTCGGGGATACTGTGTCTCCCCTATTTTCTTAAACTTATAATCTTGCGCAACGAATGGAGATCGCCTTTCTTCTTCAACCCTACTGTGTGCTCCGAGGCTCACGGAGTGGAGTCGGGTCGGGCGACCTTGACCACAGGTGACAATGCGCAGACAAGA